TTGACCTGTTGCAGCAGCGTCAGCATTGAACCAGCACATTCTCTTAAAAACAACGACGGTATGTTGTCAGTGCCAGGCCCTTTCGAAACGTCTAACTTTTGCAAAGCTAAAAATATTTCGTTCTGGCTCACAACTAGAGGTGGACAGTTCAGATTGTATGCAGGGCAGGTCCTAACACTGCCAGGAGAGAATGTCGGTGATGTTGTACTGTGCACTTTGTCGAAGAATTCAGAAAAAAGATTAGCTAGCTCATGTGGTGAATCAGTAGAGGAATTCTCGAGAGTCACCTCGGCAGGAATACGATTGGATTGCTTACGGCTAGGTATAAACGACCAAAAGGATGGCGGGTCTTGCTTCGCGGTCAGATCCATTCGTCCGATGTAGTTACCCAAGTAACAATTGTGATTTTATGAAGGTTCTGTAGACCATGATTTAGACTTGTAGAATGCTTTAAAACCTCGATAAAACTTGCAATGTTGCTTGGGTACGGCATGCAGCAGTCCGGCAATCGCTGTAATCTGTTTCGAGCGAATGTAGATTGATCCGGTTCTCAGCAGTCAGAGCTCTAACTCTGTAACTCTGATGTTCACCACCGATGCTTAAACGAAGCCATGATGGCATATAGGAAGATAAACGCGATTTAAGACTTGAACAATTAAAAAACCAAAACAATCATTACTTTGAGCTTTCTAGGAAAAAATTAAATTTGTAAATTTTTATTATTGAAAACCCCCTAAGATTGTGATAAAGGCTATATTTACGGAGATAAACGCGATTTAAGATTTCAGAAAATTCAACTAGTACTTTCCCAATTTTGTCAGCCCCATCTGAAATTTTAGGCTGACAAAAACGCGAAGCTGATTAAATCGGGATTTATTTTTTTCAATATTTTAACCTTCAAAATGATTTCGAAATCAAGATTAACTATTATTGGGCTTACTGATAAACGCCTCAAAAAGGCTAATCTATTTGCGTACTGTTCAGTTTCCTTAAACTCTGCTTGGTTTCCAGTGCTGCAACCCAGGTTGGACCTTCATATCTCAGTATCGACGTAGATACACTAGCCAGGAGCCGTCTCTGGCTGCTGCTTGGGATGGCCTTCGTCGCCTTCTCGAAATAGTATTCGACGTGGCTATTGAAGTTAGGCGGTCGTTGACCATCAATCACTCCTAGACGTATTTCAACACGCGCTTCGAAGCTATGGTCGACACAAGAAATAAAAATAAATAATAAGCTTCTTTTGAATTGGTCGCGTCACGTCGCGTGTCGTGTTTAATCTGGCCGCAGCCTATGGAATTATCCCCAACGGTGATATCTGTCCGCTGCACTGCTGTAAAGTTACTGACCAATAGCGTTTTGTTGTGGGCTATCTGCAGCTTTGCTCCTTGCATCAAGTTTCCAATCATGTCGATTGCCTCGGTCGCCAACATTTCCATATCTTCCAGTGTCTTGCCTGTTACCATCAAGACAACGTCTCAACTCCTTTGGGAAGCTTCAGCGTTAGCACGCCGCTGTACATCACGTTGCAGAGCATTGGACCGAGGATGGAGCCTTGGGGAACTCCCACCATGAAGCTAATCGATGTCTCGTAGACAGGGACTCGGTTCTGGACGTAACTCTATGCAGCGCTTCGACGATGGCCTCCCAGCTGGCGTTGTGCAACGCATTCTTGGCGTCGATCGGTTATGAATATAGATCTAATGCCCGGTTCTGTTTGGACGCCTTCTCGGCTCTCTCGACCACTGTCCAAAGTGCATCCCTTTTCGGAATCAGAACTGCCTCTCCGACAATCCGTGCGTTTCGTCAGTCTATTTAGGATGATCCTCTCCAAGAGTTACGCTGCTGAATTCCCCGGCGGTTTTACTGGCTTCGGCAGCAACACTAACTTCTGTATCTTCCATTTGACAGGAAAGTGACCCTCGTCCAGACATTTCTGCGGCGCATGTCTGAGGATGCCTGGATCGCCGCTTTCAACGCCACGTTGGCGATTCCATGCAGACCGGGAGCTTTCTTCACATTCCTTCCTTGCGTCACTGCTACGAGTTCCTCGTTAGTGACTTCGATGTTATCTCCCTCTCCCTCTCTGTATGGTGTAGGTGGCCAGGTCGTTGGGTCGAGCCTCGGGAAAAGTCCTTCCACGACGACTTTCAGCTTCTCTGGGCACATTTCAGCGCACATCATTTGACCTCTGATATTTGCCATCACGACATGGTAATCGTAGTCCCAGAGGTTGGCATCAGCGTCTCGACACAGCTCCTAGAAACAGTTTGAATTGCTCTGCTTTATTGCTCGTTTATGTGCGGCCCCGGGCCAGTCGGCAGATTCCTCTACATTCCTCTCTGTCTGCTTCTGTTATTGCTCTCTGAACTGCTAAGCGCCTCGTGTTACCAGTAAGCTGGACGCCGTCTGTTATCTGGCTCCAGTTTCCTCGGCATGGTCATCTTACATACTCTCACTAACGTTGCTGTCTGCTCGTCTGCGTTTATATCCGCGGGGCCCCTGTCCACATGGAGTTCTTCAATGAAAAGATCCTTGTCAAAAGTCTTCGTCTTCCACTTCAGGTCGCAAGTTATCGTCCTCCGTACTGTCAATGCCATATCGGATCGCCTGATGGTCGTAATGGGTATAACCTTCGCACACTGTCCAATTCATGTTTACCACCAGCGATGGACTGCAGAAAGTGACGTCGATAATGGATTCCCGGCCATCTTTGCGAAAAGTGCTGCTGGTGCCTTCGTTGGACAGCATAACCTAAAGCTTTGCCAGAGCTTCCAGCAGACTGTGCTATCTTGCATTGGAACATCTGCTTCCGCAGTCAACTGCCCAAGCATTGAAGTCTCCTACGATGACTACGGATCTTCGTTCGATCAGCTAAGTCCATCTAGCATCGTGGAACTGCTCTATCGTCCATCTAGGTGGTGCGTAGCAACTGCATTTGAAGATTCCGTGAATACGAAACCTTCTTCTGGAATGGGGTAACTGCCCATAACTCTATCAGCCACTTAGTTACCGTTATCGGGAGGGACTCAATACGGTTCCGCAATGATCGCAACATCGCTCTTTGTTTCCGTTGTCGACTGCCTCAACAGCTGTGCAGTATCACAATGGTTGAGGTTTATTTGGGTTACTCCGTTACCGTTGTGACAAAACAATTAAGTGTCATTTGGAGCGAAATGCTTATGAATTCATGCTTTAAAACCAAACAGTTCAGCAAAATCGGCAGGGGGTAGACAAAATCCGGGGTAGACTAAATCGGGAGCTGAAAAAATCGGTAAAACACTGTATTGAGTTTTCTAAGGGGAAAAACTATATTTGAAAATGTAGAACTTCCAAAGGAAGCATATTTAAAGTTTATGATCGATTTTATTTTGAGATTTTTATAGTGCATAGCACCTTAACAGCTTCATCTAATTCTTTGCTCCGCCGAATGAGCGGAGTTATTTACTTCTGATCAGGAACCAAGGCCTGCCTTAGCTCAGTCGGTTCAAGGCGCAGCTACAAAGCAAGACCATGCTGGAAATGGCTGGGTTCGATCCCCGGTCCGGTCTAGGAATTACTTCCCACACAATAATACTAATGCAAAAATGGTACAGGCATCGAACGCTCTCAATTAATTACTGTGGAAGTGCATCTAGAACACTTAGTTGAGAGTACACAATGAGCTAATAGGCAATAAGCTTGAAATGCGAGGAAGAAGAAACAGGAAGCCATTTGAAAAAGCACGTTTAGAAAGGTTGGGCAGGCTTGCACTAGTGGTTTTCAATTTGAAACAAATCAGATAATCCATCAAGGTGCTAGGGAAAATTCCATTAGCTGCGAGTATCTTTCTCACCATAAACAAAGAATACCACAAATAAGGATTCGATGAGCTTAAACAATGCACCACTGAGCACTGTTTGATGCTTGTCGATCTGAACCCACTGATCTAAGCCATCGTTTGCCAAGCTTGTCTTTACGTACAATGTAAACCTGACAGAGCGAGCTTGACCATACAGTGGGGGTACGGTGAAAATCAAAGCTACGTGGTAATTTTGCAGTGATTAGAACTAGGAACACAAACTTCGATTTGCTCATAGAATTCTCATGTGGAAATATCTAACAGATTATGGGTGAAAACGCTTGGATGCATGGGTTGAGATAGATTTTATATCTACTGAGATCTATTTGATGTCAATTGTGTGAACAAATCTCAAGAAAGCATAAACTGACTGCAAATGTCTTAGTCCTCTGTGTTCAGTACGGTTCGACTGGGAATTGATGTGTGTTGTGAATGGCTTTTCAGTTTCGACAAAATCAAAATACTCCTATTTTATTTTTCGTTCTCAAAAGATACGAAAAATATAATAGCTGTATTTTGATTTTATCGAGACTGAAAAGCCATTTAGTGCTCTGTGACAATCCACTATAAATCACAAACAGGAAATGCAGTCTACTCTCATCAACTCAATATTGGAGGGATCATTAACTTATACAGATATCGAGTTGAAGGAATGGAAATTAACTTGAGGACACCTTCGAGGTAGCCCAGAAAAAAAAAACGTATTATATCATGGTTTGCCCTGAAGTTGATCCGTACGTTATATTCCACTCTTAATATAATTGGCCACCCAACCCAAGGACCCTCACAAATACCAAAAACTCAAAAGTTAACATACCATGCGTTGCTGAACCATCAAAAGCATACTCCCGAAACACTTCAAAGAGCGATAAAACATCCATTATCGCTTACATCTCACGTTCATCGCACTGACAAAAAAAAATAATCCCAAAACAACCCCCTCTTCAATCTTCCATCCTGACTTACGACGAAACGACTCCCCATTCGACCACAACTTCCAATCTTCGCTCCACCGAAACCAAAGCAGACCTTCGTGGAAATAGCACAGGCAAAAAAGAACATCCCAGCCTGCCTACCCCTCCCCCCAACCCACCACATACACCCAGAACGGTCGTAATGATGCTCTCAAATTAGTACGAATGGTCCTCAGGACAGAACTCACCTTAAATTTAATCAACAATCGCCGTCGTCGACGGGACGCCTCCTCTCCGTGCTCGCTCTGCTATGGTTTCTGTTTTCCTCGCCGGCAGAAAACCAACTCGCTTCGATTTTCACCTGCCTGCACTGTGCTTCACCCTCAACCCTCAACGAAAAACACGGATCCCAACTCCGGATGACGTTAAAAGAATAGAGTAGTACTTTTTCGCACTTTTCCTCCGACACTATACACTATCTCCAACCGCCCGCTTGAAAAAGCAACTGAATTTAACACACCCACACTCGAAGAATCTTAAACTCTTCTTTGCACTGCTTTCCTTTGTTTCACGTCCATTCAGCCGTCGGATTTGCTTTGCTTGGCGAGCGTCGTCGTCTTGGCAGGCAAATTACGAGTTCGAACCCACTTGGCCTGCTTTTGTCGGTGACACCTGTCGACAGAGGTGATATTCGCCGGGGTAGGGGTTTTTCCAGAGGGCACTCAACGGCTGGATCGGGGCGTACAGGGCCTACAGATGAGAAAGGGATAAGAAACAGAGGAAATCGAAATTATTATTTATGTTGCTGTCAAGTGTGCTTGGGGCGGGGGTTTCGATCGCTGGAAGTAGTAGTCTGGAATTGAGAGTTTGATTGGAGAAAACCTGCAAGTTTTGGTGATTAATCAGCTGCTTTAGGATTTGATCGAAAATAGAAACGGACTCAACAACTGATTCGCAGCAATCCCCGGACAGGTACTTCCCCGGAGCACAGACAACTGCGACGGGCATTCCAATTTAGCGCAAATTTGTCTTGCAAACGAACCGACCCCCTTCACCACCACGCGTCGATCCATTAATCCTCCGAGGCTTTGCTGCTCTCCGAGTGTCTTAGCCACGACCAAATCGAATAAATTTTCCACCGTCGTTCCCCTGCCGAGCTGAACTGCAGCCGAACCAAGGTTTATTTATGTCCCTTCCAATCGAGCTATCCGTAGAATCCGTAGGATCACCACCGGAGTCGGCCCCACGTGAGATGAAGCAGAAGAAATGCAAATAGAATTCGATTGGAATTTGATTCTCGGTCTGGTGCATCGTCTTTTCTTCGACATTCCATTTCCTCTATCCCAGAAGGAAGTCTTACATCTACGGCGGCGGTGCAATACGAGCAGTCGGAGACCATTTGGGAATGCACATTTCATCACCACACACCGGTTCCGTCCCAGCCATGGTCTGTCGAAGCCCCGCCTCGAACCCCGCTATTTTTACCATTTCAATGGCAGGCTATCAATACGTGTATTTCCAGTGCCAAGCGCTAGTGAAAGCGGAAAAATGGACGGTGAAAATTCTGGAAAATTTATGTCAATTGAATTATACGGTTCATTGTGGAATTTATTCCTGATGGTGAGGCATTACTGGCTGTGTGATTCGACGGACATTTTCTGCCGAAAAATAATTCCACAGAATTCCTATGCGAATGCAAAGCTATTCCAAAGATTGTTGATCATTTTTTTTTTTTGACGTAGACTACGTCTTGCGGGAAGGTACGGGGGGTAAATCGAAAATCTATAAATTGCCATCGTCACGAAAAGGTGTTAGGTTTTGAACGCTTATAACTTGTCATTTATAGATGAAATTAAAATCGAAATTCACCAATCGATAGCAAGCAACTCTACAATTCTGCTGAGATCAATAATTTTCCAGTTTTCAAATAAAAACTTTTGAAAAATGTATGAATTAAGAGTGATAATTTTGTCATTGTTTTCATGAATTCAGCGTTTTCCCTCACCCGAGTATATTTATATTCTTCGAGTACCACTACCACTACATTAAAGCGTACTACCACCCATTAAAGCGGCCTAACGTTTTTCGTCGACAAGCATCAAGAAGTACTTAGTGTGGCAGGCGATCTGTGGGTGTGGCAAATTCAGCAAGCCGTACAAAACGACCGGCACCATCAACGGCCAAATATATAAAGAAGAATGCCTCCAGAAGCGCCTGCTGTCCTTCCTCGGGTCCCACCAAGGTGACACTCAGTTTTGGCCGGATCTGGCATCGTTTGTTTTAAAGATTATCGGTATCAAAGGTACTAAAAAATCGGTATTTATCGGTATTCACTATTTATTTAATTTTATATTTTTGACGTTTTTGAAAGCGAAAATTGTAATGATTTGAGGGCAATTGCTTTATTTGACGGCTTTCGCAGTCTTAAAAAACTATTTTTTTTATTTAATTTTTAAAATTATTGTTGTCCTTAAGCAGTGACCAAGCAGTGTTTTTTTTTTCAATTAAATATCATTAAATGAAACCAAAATATGGAAAATCAGCCATAACAACGACTAAACTATTGACAATAACGACAAACAATATTTTCCCTTGAAAAAAGCCACAACCCATGGTAGAAATGTCTAGCAGATTACATCGTATCGTAATCAGTGTAAGACTGAGAAAGCCGTTAATCAAAGCAAAATTTTAGCTTTTGAACTATGATCGGAAAATTCCGGAAGAAAACTCCGGGGAATTTTTGAATTAGCTTCTGAATGGAGCTGAAAAAACACACAGAGAAAGACGAAAGAAGCTCTCCTGGTGAAGTTCGAGAAAAGCTGGAAAAACCTCCGGGAAACTTTCAAGACGCGAATTGAGAAACTTGTGGTGAAAATTTAAATAAACTATTGGAAAAAAAATCGGATGTCACATTTAAAAAAGCCAGAAAAGTTTCGAAAACCGGAAGTAAATTTCCAGAAGTAGCCATTCCCAGGGAAAGCCAGAAGAAGCTCGGAAAAACCTTTCAATAGAAGTCGAATAAAAAAACCTTTGGCTTATGGTCAAACTTCCAGAAGAAGAGGAATGACATTTCTGGGAGAATTAATTGAACTTCCTGGACAAGACGAAAGAATCTTCCTGGAGACGCTGGCAGAAACTTCCTAAGGTAGATTGGAAGAAACATCTGAAGAAAGTCGGAAGCCAGAGCGCTTACGGAATAGTCGAAAGAAACAAGGACATAATTCCTGGAGAAAGAGATTCCTGGGGGATGTTCTACTGATCCAGACAATTTTCCTGATATTCATAAAACATCCCCGAAGACTCCACAATTTCCCTGAAGTTTTTGGAACATTCCTGAAATGCACTGAGGAATATTCCATAATTCCTCGAAATTCCTTAAAAGTTCTTGTAATTTTCCTGAAATTAGGGGCTGTTTCGGAGTTCTCTGGTCATCCTCGAAGCGCTCGGAACTTCCCTGATTATAATAAGACTACCGGAATATCTCTAATAATCTTTGAAGGTCTCTGGACTTTCTTGGAGATTACGAAATCTTCTAAGTGCTCTCACAATTTTCTTGAATTTATTGTAACATCAGCATTGAAGTTCTCTGATCTTCCCGATTTTTTTAATTTTTAAAAATTATCGACACTGCTATTAAAAACCATAGAACTTCTCATTAAATGTTCTCAAAATGTTCTCACAATGTTCTAATGTTTCTCGGAACTCCTTTATAATTTCAGCAATTTCATTGAAATTAATTGATCTGTCCTGACGTTCTCTGAGCTTCACTAAACTGCCTGAAAACCATTAAATTTCCCTGAAGTTCTTTGGACTTGTGAAGTTTCAAAAATATTTATGATGTTTCCTTAAGCTCACTGGAGTTCGCTGGACTTTTCTGAAATTTCCGAGTTTTCGAATATTAACAGAGGTTAATGAAACTGTCTTTAATTTATCGAAACTAAAAGTCAACACAAAAGTCTGGATTTTTCTGAAGTTTCAGAACTTCTTAAATGTTCCTGCAGCTAGTGTGGATCCGCAATAAACATCTGATAGCATCCTTGAAGTTCCGGGAAAGTTAAAAAAAAAAACTTGCTGGAGAAGATGCGAAGGCCTAAGAAGCTTCCAAGGTAAGGTGGATAAAAATTCCAGGGAAAGTTGGAGGAAACTTCAGGAAGTTTAAAAAGGAATAAAAACTTCCGGAACTTAATTATTGTTTAAAAAATATTTCTCGATTCCCTAGGAATTACCGGAAAGAGCCATCAACTATTTCTCCATTGATGGGTAGCCAAAAACGGTGAGGAAATGCAAACATTAGTCGAAAGAGATCAAGCATAACCCAAGTAACACTGCAAGTTTTATCATGGTTTTAAAGCGTTCTACAAATCCAATTCATGGTCTACAGAACCCTCATAAAACCAATATTGGCATCTTTAGGGTAGACCAATTCATGGTCTACAGAACCCTCATAAAACCAATATTGGCATCTTTAGGGTTGATTGTTTAGAATTTTGAATACTCAAGAAATATGAGGTATCAAAAAAATACAAGTCTCTCACAAAAATTTTCTCCGAAATTCGAGCGTGGGCAGGCAATAATAATTTTGATTATTTAAAAAAAAATCGGTGCAAATCGGTATAATATCTCAGAAATCGGTATTCTGAGCAACCTTATCTGTATATCGGTATCTAGTTCGAAAATCGGTATAAATACCGATGAATCGGTATATCTGGCAACGCTGGTTGCAAGTGTCAAGTAGTTTGAACGAACGGACGAAATACTTCCCCGCCCAATTGTTTAGCTCAATCACAGGTGGCGCATTAGTAAAAAGAATGAACCAACCATGCTGAAATGTCAAACTTCGGCATTTCATCGGTTCTGTTGTGCCAAAAAGCAGTTCTAAAGAACTGAAAATCCAAAAGAAGAGGGCCGCTTCACTCTTTGGATTTTTTAGAGACAGATAACAGCGCCAAACGGTTTTTGACGAGACAACGTTGAACTGCAGTGTTGGAAGAAAACTCTTTCGCTCGAAAGCAAAACAAGCACATCATGATGCGTGCTTGGATGTGTGATTGTTTTATCAAGTATTTCTGTTGCGTATAAAGTGGCAATGATTGAAAATCGGAACAATCACAAAGAAGTAAGAATCTTGCTATGGCAATATAATGATGATGACTTCGAGGATGATATCGTCCTCTTTTCTCGGCTGATCATCAACGTTCGCATAGAGATCTCCAAGCACAATCTCACGAACACTAAAATCCAACATCCATACGTAAAAACGAAGAAGAAGAAGAAACAAAAAGGTATCGCGATATCACAACTACTTAAAAAGGTAGCGCGCGGTCTCACGCACACTTTTGTGCATCTGGAGAACTCTATTGACATCTATCATGCTGACATCTGTCAGTTATTGAGCCCAGGTGGTGAAGTTCGCGGGGAACTCCCAACAGTTTCAATGTGCACTCAACAGATGGCACTGCGATCGTGCGCGCGTGAGTCAAAATAATTATTTTGAGGTACGTAGAAAATAAACCTCGGTGAAAGTGGTGTGACCATTGTGCTCCATCTCAAGCAGGTGGTCAAAGCAACAAAGAAGTTTTCTTTGTTCTATTGGTAGGAGAAGATTAGTTTTTTGTGTAAATTTTTTGTGAAACTAGATTAAAAAAAGGAGAGAAACAGGAATCCTACGAATAGAAGTAGACCCAACAAACAATCGTCTATGGAAGAAACGACTTCTTGGCCATTTTATTCAACTGCATGCTTAAA